TTAGCTTCCTCTAACCCCATCTCGGGGTTTCTATGCAATTAATTCCGAACGTGTCTACGCGGGATCATGAAATCCTGTATGCTCGCGAATGTTGCCCATGCTCCACGAGGCTCAAAAACACATTGAATTTTTGGTTTTTGCAGCATCGATTTCATTTAGGATAGGTAATTATTTTACTCAGCGAATTTTAGGTTTTTCCATTCGGTGTTCAATCTGATTGTGATTTCTCATCTCATCAATGTGTAATATGTTATTTAGCTAGAGACAGTATCACCCCCAAGCTGCTGTTACACGACAAATACTAACAATAAAGAAAAAGATTGTACTCCTCGTGGCTTATTTAATGTACAACACACTGGATCGAATAAAGGTTGCCGAAACGTCCCCTATACCCGGGAATTCACTCCGTACTGGAGTCCCGAAGTTTAAGTTTCTGTGGTCCGACCTAAGTAACATTAAATCGTGCGCCATTCTGTTGTTTTCGTGGATGAAATTTTCAGATCAGTGTTAGACTGTATGAAATACATTCACAACTAGCTCATGCTACGATATCTGATCAATAACATTTGATGTAGGGTCACTCTATAGACTGTATATTGAGCTGTGGTGAACACGTTTTTGTCGGCACTAGGGATTTGCGCTCAACATATTTCACAACTTGCATTCACATAATCCGGGATTAAATTGAATTTGTCCAAATAGAACGAGGAGTGGCGAACAAGCTCGTTTTCAGTGATTCGTAGTCATGCCAAATACATCACAATAAATAATACGCTGTTTATATATAAATCAGTATTCAATCATAAAAACGCAAACAAATGTTTCGGGAAAGGGAAAATTACCTCATGGGTTATCTGGGGCTAAGTTCATATTGGGACCGGATATGGAATTCTCAATGATCGCATGATTGTTAGGTCATCCGATCGTTGAGACCACTCGGAATATGGGGTGTATAGGGGGTGGGCCAGGGGAGCTTAAGCGCCTTCACAAATTGTTTTTGGGCATACAAAGGGGGGTGGTGCAGCCGAATTCCTACCGCTTCCGCTGTGGCTAGCATACGACAGCGAACCTGCCTTGATTATCGACCACGAACCCGATAAAGGGGACGGAATACCTCGGTCACATTCACAGTGTGATTTGTTTCAACTAGGTGTGAAACCACTGCACTAGTGAGTGACTTAATCGTTCCTGTGTTTAGCCATGCGGGGTGGTGTTCACGGATTCGTTCGGACAAACGCCTGACCGTGCGGCCTATGTACGTGGTTCCACAGGAACACGTAAACGAATTTGTCCAATTAAAGTTCCAATCTCCACATGAGTTTGATACAGCAGTGGGCAAATAGTAAAGCCTACGATCCCATTATACGCGCGTTTGGTTCTAAAATGCGGGTGACCTAAAAACACTTCTCGCATTGTCCAACACTGCACCTCGTTGTAGATATTTTTCAGGAGTCATGAGGGTTTATATAATAGGACTACTAATGAGTAGCTAGTCCCGGAATAACAATATTACCAAAAATAACCCGATGATAACGAACTTTCGCATATTCGATATACGGTCGATGGCCGAAAATCCGCATTGAATAGAGCTATTTTATCATTGAAGGACTCATTGCCATTGTGTGCTATGTTTCTGTCATTTCAGGGACTTGAAAAGTAATTCTTTGGTTTGCAGACTGAAGCTAGATGACTGATAGTAAGCTCACGGTTTCTTGAATTAGAAAGGAAATGGTTCTGTTTATTAGTGACCAGAGTCTGCATAGTTTCATCCTAGCACACATAGGATTTCTTGGGAGAAAAATATCAACTTTGATGTCTGTGATATCTGGGAGACGATAAGTCTATCTCGAAATGATTTAAGAGATCATATTAATGAAGTATATCCAATTTATAAAATCATTTTACTTTAATTATTGTGCGTGCCAATAAATTCCCAATATGAGTATACAACTTTGAAATGGAGTCTAAAAACATCCACAACTTTTTACCGTACTTGAATTTGCTTGCACAAATTGGCACATCGATCCTGCAGCATTTGATTCTCTGCCTCCTTGTCTGCCACAGACATTCGAATTCGTTGTAGCTCACCCTCCAACGAACGGCGTACCACTTCCAGTTGCGTGATCCTATTCTCTGCCTCATCCAAAGCACGACGACTCAAACGTTGTTCCTCCTCCAATCGGGCTTCTGATTGACGCATCTTGGATAGTTTTTCCTGTCAGAATCAAGCCGCATATCAATTGAAATGAACAAATTTAAGGCCAGACCGAATGCTGTTTATCACAACACATCAAAGCACAGTGAAATTGTCGTAGGAGCTATGATGTATACTAAATCCACTTCACATTTAAGTTCCATGTATTCGAGAATTTCTGTAGTACACA